GCGTGAGCAACGGTATTGACTGATGTGACTTTTTATTTAATGCGTGTATATAGGAGGAGGAGGAAGGTGGCGGTGAAGATGAGGAGCTTCCCGAGTGCGCTGAGAGGAAATGGCACGACACCGACGGTCAGACAGGAGAGGACAACATTCAGAGCGACACCGCTGTGGAGCTGGCAGGAGAAGCCTCGGAGAGAGACGAGGCCAAAGAGGTAACATTCAAATCTATACTGTACTCCAGATACTCGAAGTGACTCTGATTGATTATGAAGTGATTCACAGCGGAGTCTCCCGTGATCGGGAGCATATTTGATGGCCGCATATGTGACTGAATATCCTGATGCCTAGCCTATGTGAATTGTGAGTTAAATGACAGAGCGCTTTGTGTGTGACAGTTCTGAATGTGTACTTTTTTCCTTCAATACACAAAGAGTACAGAATAGGACAGAGTGTGACGATCTGTCTTTCTTCTGAATGAGAAAGTGGGAGGAGTGAAAGCACTGGTGAGACTCCCCTCTTTCTGATTGGTTGTTTGTGTGACAGAGAAGCTGTTACACAAACAAGTTGTCCACCCATGAAGGGCCTTCTTGTGTGCCACAGTGCAGCTTGAGAGCCACACAAATGCTGACGTATTGTATTTTATAATACGTTCTGTGTGGAGCACAAGTTTTTCTTTTGTCACCCCAAAACACAATGCAGTGTCTGGGGATTCTTGATAGTACTTGGAGAGTCTCGTCTCTCTGGTCTAGAGGAGAGGGGGACTGAGAGAGGCCTGATGACCTGGGAACCTCAGGAGCCTCTGAACCATGAGGTAGGACAGAGAGCTGACAGGGAATACTGGAGGCGTGCTAGGTTGAACACTTCTTTTTTCCTTCCCTGGGATGTGACGGCTCGTTCTTTGCAATAGTCACTGCAAAGGCCTTGGGTTTTCTACCTCAACTTGCCTGGCAGACTGTGGTCCTGGTCCTCGTCTTGTCTGTATTTTGGTCTCACACACACTGCCTGACCTCACAGCAGCTGCTGTTGCTGCAAAGCCCGCTCCTGGCACCTGGTGGGGTTGTGGGTAAGGGCATTTTGAAAGCTTCTCCCTCTCCATGGCTGCACTGAAGAGATCCAAATTTCTCTTTCTAGATATAGAATATAGATCCTAGATGTAGAGTTTTACTTGCACTAGTGAAAAACATTATTAACTGCTAATGGTTTCAGATATTGTCCTGAAGGTGTATAGACAAAAAAGTGTCACTGTTTTGTACAGCGATTTACAGTAGATGATGGCATCCAAAAAAAATTGCTTGGTTACTTTCACAGAGCGGTGAAGCCCTCCACACCAAACTTTAGCTGGGTTTGGTTTTTGTACACATGTATAAAATATGTCTGCCATGATTTTTGTATCTATATTTATGCTATTATGGTTTTACAGGAGCATGGCAGTGGAGCAGCTGACGCCAGCCAGTCTGAGGGCCACCAGTCAAAGCTGACAGCAACAATGGCTTCACACAGACAAACTCAGAGTCAGACTCAGGTGTGGAAAAATTCTCTGCCTCAACGCTGCTGTTCGGTGTCCCTTTATTCCTCTTAATTACGGTTTTCTTCCTTTCCAGAGCTTGAAGAGGAAACCTGGTCAAGCAGATAGCGAGCGCTCTATAGGCGACTACAACAAGCCAGTCAACAAGCGCCTGCGCACAGTCGAAAGAAGCAAAGAGAGCCTCGAGAACAACAGGCAGAGCGACACCCAGCAGGTGTCAGACCTGTACGAGCACATTAAGCACGGAGACCCAAACTACGACACTCAGACATATGGTAGGTGATCACCTGGAAGCTGAGTCTGTGATGGTTTGGCTGGAGTTTAAACTAAGCTTTTCAAACCAATTACACAACTGTTGTTTGTTGGTGTGACTGCACCTAGATGTGGCCAGTACAGAGCAGGAGAGCACAGCAGGGCCTCGGGGCCAGGATGAAGATGACAAAGAAGAGGATTTGTCCATGGAGACAGAGGACCAGGAGGTTGATCTCCAAGCGGCTGAGGTCCAGGAGCTGAAGCCTGAACAGCTGGACTCCTCAAAGGCTTCCCAGACAGGTGTCAAATTCTCTTCTTCTCCTGCTCGTTTTTTTTATTTCAACAATTTTTAAACTTCTCAGATGTGAAGCATCTCTTGACTAGTGTTGCTGTTGTGCAGGTGCAGACCCTGGAGAGATGGAGGTGCAGAGGCAGGGAGAGGAGCAGGAGGACGAGAGGTGGAAGGAAAAACAACAAGCCGAAGAAGAAGAACGAGCAAGCAGAAGGACAGACTCTACAATTCATGTTGTTCCTGAGCTGCTTCTGGACTCTGCGCAGGTAGACAGTACGCTCTGTCTAAGGAGTTGCTGTCAAGTGTTGTAGAAGTGAACATATTTGAAATTACTGTCAATTATTGATTATTGTTACATATAACTGAGTAATGTGGACAAAGAGATGATTTACAGTGATGTAAATAAGTGTAGGCCACATTACACTTGTGATTTTCGTACACTGACCGCCATAAAGAGTTAATTACATTTAAAAAAGTCACAAAGCCTTCAGTTCCACATCAGTTCATATCAGTTTAATGTTACACACGTGAAGATAACTCTGTATGTCTGTGTGTGTGCTTATGTGCCAGGAGAAAGCACAGAAGAGAGACCCAGAAGAAACAAGGAGGGAGATGGAGCTGCAGCTGGAGGCCTGGCACAAACTGGCCCCAGGGACTCAGGAGGAGGTGAGGGTGACCCGGGAGACTCAACCAAACATGTTCAACTGTGGCTGTCACGTAGGAAAGTGTGATTTGCACTGCTATTCTTCAGTTAACTGAAGAAGAGACTCGAGAAGTTTTGTCTTTTATACGTTTTTGTGGCATTTGTTGAAGAATGCTGACACAAACACGCTGCAGATTCAAATATGTCAGCAAATGCTGTCCTTGTGAACATAACGAGGATTATCGGCTCATGTGAAAGTTGGAAATATATTTGATGTATTTTCTAAAACACAAAGCTTCACTCAGGAGACGGTGGAATAGTTAAATGTGTCTCAGAGTGATGGCATAGAGGGAAAACGTGTGGTTCTTTCCTGTGATTAACTGCAACTGCCACTGTGTTTCAGGAGACTGTAGCGGCTTCCATGTGGCATCAGTACCAAACTCTGACCTCGGCTCTCTCTCAGCAGCTGTGCGAGCAGCTCCGTCTCATCTTGGAGCCCACACAGGCCGCCAAACTAAAGTCAGTAAAGCACACAGGAAATCTTGATTCTCTCTGCTGTGGTGAAACTGGCCCACTGTTAATGTGAGCTGATGCTGTGTGTGTGTGTGTGCATCAACTGTATCTTTGTGTCTTTATATGTGCTTGTCCTCAGGGGTGATTACCGAACAGGAAAGCGTCTGAACATGAGGAAGGTGATCCCTTATATCGCCAGTCAGTTTCGCAAAGACAAGATCTGGCTAAGGCGGACGAAGCCCAGCAAGAGAGAATACCAGATCTGCCTGGCTGTGGACGACTCCTCCAGCATGGTGGACAACCACTCTAAACAGGTTCGAGGCTCCAGTTACAATCAGATGGCTGGTGATAAATGCAAGAAACGATCAGTAATAGTAACGGTGTATTTAGTGCTTATTATTGACTGATGGTTTTTCATGTGTCATTTCCCTATAATGCCCAACTTTTGCTTCCCATATCTTATCTAAAGTTTGCATTAATTAAAAATTGCATGTGTGCTTGTGTGTCTGCGTCCATGCACAGCTGGCATTTGAATCCCTGGCAGTGATTATCAATGCCCTCACTCTGCTGGAGGTAGGCCAGGTGTCTGTCTGTAGGTAAGAGCTTCATCTTTCTGTATGTTGTGATTTGATTTTAATAGCTGTGTGATATGATCTAAAACCAAAGAAACAAACCAGCGTGAATATGGCTTCATGTACTGTACAGTTGTGATGTCATCATTAAAATAAATGAACTTTTGCTCTTGTATGCAGCTTTGGGGAGCAGGTGCAGCTGCTGCATCCCTTCCAGCATCAGTTTAATGACGAGTCTGGGGCTCGGATTCTCAGGCTCTGTCAGTTCCAGCAGAAGAAGAC